TGTGTGTGTGTGTGTCACGGTATGCACCCAAGGAAGGGTGTGTGTGTGTGTGTGTGTGTCACGGTATGCACCCGACGAAGGGGGTGTGGGGGGGCACAGTATGCACCCGAGGAAGGGTGTGTGTGGCACGGTATGCACCTGAGGAAGGGTGTGTGTGTGTGTGTGCTGGAGTGTGTTTTGTGTGTGGGGGGGGCACGGTATGCACCCAAGGTTGTGTGTGTGTGTGATGGAGTCTCACTCTGTCCACTCACCCCTGCCTCCTGAGTTCAAGCAATTCTTGTGCCTCAGCCTCTTGAGTAACTGGGACTACAAGCCAGTGCCACCACACCTGACTAACTTTTTGTATTTTGGGTAGAGATGGGGTTTCACCATGTTGACCAGGCTGGCTCAAACTCCTGACCCCAGGTGATCCACCTGGCTTGGCCTCCCAAAGTGCTGGAATTACAGGCATGAGCCACTGCACCTGGCCTGCTTTTTAAACTGTTTTTAGAGATGGGATTTTGGCTTCCTGTAAAATTTGATGCATACATTTTACTATAACAACAAGGAAAGCAGGCTTCAAGTCTGGCAATATATCATTGGAGTAAAAATTAAAAGTTCAGACATTACAGAAGCCCTTATAACGAGATGATCTGGGACTCAACTGTACGATACATGATACAGAAAAATATTTCTGGTCCAGTCCCCATCATCACTCCCTGCACCTGTGCCGTTGCTTCCACCCCATCCTGTTACCTACCTCCCATTCAACTCCCACCCTCACCCCCTTGTCTGTCCTTTCTACAGCTACCAGAGGGCACCTGTGAGCACCTGAGTCAGGTCCCATTCCTCCTCTGTCCGCAGCCCTCCTTGGCTCCCACCTCCCTCCAGATAAAAGCCCAAGTCCTCCTGAGGCCCACAAGGCCCTGCAAACCTAGCCCCATCTCCTTCCTCCTCTCCTCTTCTCCCTCTGTCCCCTTTGATCACTCTGTTCTAGCCACACGGTCCTCCTCGCTGTTCCTCCAACACGCCATACACAGTCCTGCCTCGAGGTCTTTGCATGAGCTTTGTGGGAAGGTATTTTCCCCTAGTTAGCCACACAGCTTGCTCCCTCACCTCCTTCTGGTGGATCTCTCCTCAGTGTCACTTCCTCAGTGAAGGCCTCCCTAACTTCCATGTTTGAAATAGCAAACCATAAACCATCCCATTACTACCTAATTTCCATTTGGCTACTTTTTTTCTTCCTTAGGATTTTTTTGACACTGACATATTATGTGCTCATTTGTTTATCAGAAACATCAGCTCCTTGAGGTCAGGGGTTGTCTGTCTTATTTACTACTGTAACTGCAGTGCCTGGTGGGCAGGAGGACTCAATCCACTTTTGGGAAATGAATGAATGAAAGAAATCTGATTAAACAGGATATTCCCCTCTATGCTGGTTGGTATTTATGCTCCTGGTGGCTGCATGTATGGTTATGGTAAGACATTCTCCTACCACAAAGGTTATAAGCATAAACCCTGGAGCAAGACTGCCTGCTTTTTAGGATTTTTTTTTCTTGTTAAGTTCCTTATAGATTTTGGATGCTAGACCTTTTTTTTTT